GCAATTGGAACAAGTCAATAAACTTTGTGCTTGCAAAAAGAACAAGCGCTCAAATGATGAGTTTCCATAGCTCCACGCCTCCTCCAATATATATTTAATATTAATACAAAACAATAGAAAATTTTGTTTTCAAAATTAAAAAGTTTCTGTCATTTTAAGCATATAGATTAATGACTAAAAGAATGACCAATTTGTTTGTCAAAGTAAATTTACAGTGCTAATTTAAATTTACTATTATCATATGTCAGTACTGTACTACTGAATTACTATGTGTTAAAATTGTGTTCAATAATAAAACTTCTTAATTTAAATATTCAATATTTGTATTTTTGTATTCAATGTAATGACTTGCTGTTTTTAACAACATAAGATCAGACCAAAAATATTCGGTAGTTCTATAAATTTTGCTATGTACAACACTTCAAAAGATCTTGAACTTTTTATATTTAAAAAATAAAGAAAATATTAACCTTTCTGCAGTGGGTTAGTCAGATATGGTGCTATCCCTATGTAGTGAAGAATAAACGTGGGAAATTTTTAAAGTATTTTCCCATGCATTTTTCTCATTACTGTTTCGGAAAAAGATTTTGTAAACAGTATAGTCTAGTATAGGAAAGTCTTTTTTTATTGTTACATAATTCCTTTTTTATGCAAATTATTTTTACGGTAGTTTTTGGCAATATCTGCTTATGGATATAGCCGTCGGTCACCAGTGCCACACGATCGCTGGATATATCCATCTGTCACTGCGGAGTGGTTAACGATTATAAAAATAAAACATATGAATATGGCGCACAAACAGATTATTGACATCATCTCTGAATAAAACTTAATTTTTGATAATTAGAGATTTTAATATAATGAAATAATACATTAATAAAATTTGTTTGCATTTCATTCTTCTATTGTTCAATTTTCTTTTGTTATTTCAAGAAATCCAACACACATTATGTTTAGAAGAAAGATAAATTTTCTAAAAAACGTTTTTTCTTTTCTCTATTTCCTTATTTAGTTAATTACATTATTTAAGAAAAATTGAAAAGGAAAAGGAAAAATAATGATAAAATAACTATCTACTTCTAATTTTATAATGTTATTTATTTCACAGAAACCTTATTATCTAATTACAATTGATTTTTTATTATTTTGAATTTACTATTATGTATTGTTGCTTTGTTGTTTAGAGAAAAAACTGAAAAAAGCTATTTGTCCCTCAATCTTGAAATTAAAACAAATTTATTTGTTATTTGAAGTGCAGTCTCATTAATCTAAACTCCATTACATATAAACCAACTTTGGTCATTTTCCAATAAAGACAAGAAATTGTAGATTATTTTTTAAATTACAATGAATCCGTAAAATTAATATTACTGCACATTTTTGACATAAATATATGTATGAAACAGTGTAAAAATTTTTGAAATATATATATATTTGTCCAGAGACAAAATATCATGCTATTTACTTCTTTTTCTTCGTACATAACTCCACTAATCTAAACCATTCAACAATTAACTTGAGTTAATGAGAGTTCACTGTACACTAAGTTTTTGAGTATGAATTGTTATATCTCAACTGTCATCTCAACAGTTAATTTTCATATTTGAACTAATATTAAATAGGCCTTGCATTTCACAAATTAATAAATCTTTAACTTAACTGATAATGTTTATTACACATAGCATTTATGAATTTAATGATAAAATACAACAGTAATTTAATCTTTTTCTAAAAAATTTCACAATATTTAAAATTATATAAACAGTCTCTATTGTCAGTAGCATTCATAAAAAAATAGTTGTAAAATCAATCAAATAAACTAATTAATTATGTTAGACAGCTGTAAGTGGTTTAGATTTTGGATGTGAATTTGGCAGCAATCCCAACTCAACTGCAAACTTTACATTCAAAAAAATTCGCCCATCAACATCAATGAAATGTCAGGAAAGGAAGAAAACATTAACCAGGAAAAAAATCCAAAGATACACATCGTTATCAAGAAATCTCTTGGACAGTTTTGCATGACTCCATCCTAACCCAAAAAGTAATTGGTTAAACTTTACCTATGTGCATCGTCATGGCTGTGGTCACAACTGTTCATACCCCCAACTGACTCCTCGCCGAGTGTACAATGTCACTAGTTATTGATATGTGTGTTCAAGAACTACCATGAATCAATAACTAGTGACATTATACACTTGGTGGCCTGCTGGTGGCTCCCCTTCGGGAGGAGTCAGTCAGGAGCATGAACAGTCACGACCATGGTCATGATGGTGCACGTAAGTAAAATTTGACTGAATTTTCTTCTATAAATGAACTTTTAAAATCTTTTTTTTTTTTTTTGCATTTTTCATTAAAAACTGAATCATTTTTAAAATAAGATCTTAAATTAATAAAAATATATCAATGTCATAAATTTAATATTGGTATATTTTTTTCTGTAAATATTGTAAATCCCTAATCTAGAATTAAATGTTTATGTATTGATGAATAAGCACAGAATAATTTTCTTTGGGTACAGCTTAAGCAATTAAGCAAGGCTAAAATGTACATGCAAGAATGCAATAGCCTTACCTTTTAAATAAAAACAACACAATGAATTTTTCATGAAGATACAAGAGCACATTGTAAAATTCAAGGAGTGCTAGCAGTAAGAAAAGTAACAACTACTGTTGTGAACAGACTTATTTGATACATTATTTAGCATTTCATTAGAAATATATTAATGCTATAATAAAGCTTATAAATTATTTTATAATAATTATTATATTTATTATATATTATTTTTCTAATATGGAAAGATTTTGAAGAAAATAGTTTCTAATAAATTTATGAAATTTTTCTATACATATCATTTATGTATATTATGAAAAATACAGCGTGTCCAACAAAGATCTTTATCATTCTAAGCATTAATAACAAAAATACTAACAGGTGAAATGAAATGCAGTTTGCTGCAAAAGAATGAAGAAATCTAAGTTTATCTGGTACAATTACCTGAGGTAGATGGCAATAATTGCTTGCTAGTTGTGATAAGTAGACAGTGGATTTTAGGCAAATTCCTATTTTTTTCTTTGGTATATACATGGCTAAGATTTTGTATGAACACTTTTCATGAACATTTAGATCAAAACAATGGTATTTTATAATGCCTAAAAATGCTTATTTTGACGTTGCTGCCTATTTTTGACTAAAACAGAAAGTTTAGTCTGTTTTCATAATTTTAGAAAGTTTTTATTAATTTTTTTGTTTTATTTTCTGCAAAGGTTTACTTTAATTCTTAAATTAAACTGCTTAAGTTTCATTTTTTTTCCTGAAAATGCAATCAGACAAATTCATTTTTTTTATTATTATTGCTTACTTATATTTAAGTCCCAGTGGATGCATATCCCAAGAAGAAAAAATTAGAATGCAATAATAACAGAAATAAATTACACCCCCTGATGCAATTTTAGAGTAATAAAATTAAAACTATATGAAATATTTTAAAATAAATTGTTTTATTTAATGAATATAGTGTTAGAGATGCTTTATTTGTCATTTTTAGATAGTGGATTTTAGGCAAATGCCTATTTTTTCCTTAGCACATACATGGATAAGATTTTGTACTAACTACTACAGTGAACATTTCTTCGATATCAAAAAACTTCTGGCAACTTTAGCGGACAATGCAGTTTGTGTAACTAAAGCCAAGAAAATTTTGAATGACATTTATGTTCAGAATAAGTTTATGTATATCAAGTGTTATTTCACATTCATTGCAGATACTATTACTGCTCTTGAAAGTAGTGGGAAACCTATATATGAACAAATTTATCTCCTCAACAGAGCAAACCAGAAACTTTGTGATGCACCAGGCACTGCTGCAAAAAAAGTGAAGAGTTGAAAGCAGTGCTTCAAAAGAGACTTGGATTACATCTACTGAAGATAACGGACAATATTTCAACCTTGGAAGAAGATGAACTGGGAATTCACTTTCAGTTTTGCTCTTCTTTCCTGCCAAAATATCAGCCACAATAAACGAGCACTTTAATATTAATTCTTCAATTTCAATATTAATTCTTAGTCCGTTATCTTCAGTAGATGTGTTCCACATCTACTGAAGATAACAGATTATGCGCTCTTTCTCTGCATATAAATTAATTCTTAGTGACAAACGTTGCAACTTTTCTATTGAAAATTTGGAAAAAGTGCTTGTAATATATTATGAAGCTAACTATGGGAAACAGAATGAATAAAAAATGTAAAGATAATTGTTCGTCTATTTTTGTGTTTGCATCATTCTGAATACATGCATTTTTGTTTGGAATACATATGTTAAATAAAAAAATTCATTGTCCTGATAAGAATGTTAATTGTTCATTGTGTGAATTTTCACTGCCTATTTTTTGTTTATAAAGCCTAAACGACGCAATTTAAGAGCTTATTTTAAGCACCTAAAATGACACTTTTAAGGGCCTATAGGTCCACTGTCTAGTGATAAGGACCCATACCTTGGCCTCCGCGATCGCCCAAAATAACTCCACTGGATTTCTTTTTTTTGGGGTTATGTTAAAGACAGGGTTTATCAAACACCTGTTTCTGATATATTCATTTTAAAGGATACAATTACAATCCTCACTGTTACACTGCAAATGTTAAAAACACTTGGGAGGGAAGTCGAGTACAGATTCAACATTGTTTGTGCTACTAATGGAGCTCACATACAGCTACATTGAAGGTACTGTAAAAAAAACTCTTAGATTTCTTCATTCTTTTGCAGCAAAGTGCATTTCATTTCACCTGTTAGTATTTTTGTTATTAATGTTTAGAATGATAAAGATCTTTCTCAGACACACTGTATAATTACTGTATATGTGCAAGTATATAGTTTTCTATTTATACTATTTTAAATATGTGATTTTCATATATTTAAATATTTTTTATATATTTATACTATTTAAATATATGAAAATCACATATTTAACATACTTTCATTAGTAAAAAAATTTTTCACTTACTCGATTTTCCATTTCAATTGTTTGTTGTGGCCGGCGTCTAGGTATAAGCGATGGTGTTTGACGTGTCCTAGTCTGAGAATGGTATTTGGATTTTGTTCTCGAATGGATGGATATTAATTTCTTAAATAATCTTTGATTTTCTTGATCAATATTGCAAATTTCATCATTCGAGAAAGAAACACATTTTCTTCTTCTAGTCAACGGCGGGGTTACACAATTTCTTGGTCTTATAAGCCTAGACCTTTGATGAGTTTCTAATTGTTTGACAGCATCTAATAATTCATTCATATCTAAAGTTTTATTCTCAATCATGGATCTACGTACAAATGCTGTTTTAGGATAATCTTTTGCCTTTGGAATGCTAGCTGGAAATTTAATTAATGAGGAATTTTCATTTTCTGACTGATGCAATTCTACATCCATTGAGACATTTCTAGCATCAGATTTGTTTTTTGGCAATGGACTATGACAATATGGTGAATGGAGAGGAGTAACATCAGTAATTGATTCTGATTCCGAAATGTTTAATGAATCTTCAGAATCACTCATAGATACGCTGGATGAAAGAGATTCGGAGCTCTCTTGATCATTCCCTACAGCAGAAACGTCAAATTCACATTCTTCTGCAATCTGACATTTAATTTCATCCGCGTATTCGTCTTTCTCTTCGTTATATTTATCTATTTGATGGCATTGCTGAGTGCCAGATAACATTTCGTGATTACAGCTGACCACGTTAGGTAAATAATCATGAAATGCTTCGTCGTCTGCATATAAACGGCACTGGCTATTTGTAGATGACTGATCGGGATTCAACAATTCTGAACTACTCTGACGATAAATTACATCGTTTGTCAACGACATTTTACATGCTAATAATTACAATCATTACAATAGCTATTCAATCATATTTATGAGATTTTGAAAAGTAACGCCGTAAACCACGAATCTCCTCTCCATTGTTTGTATAGAACAGTGTTGCCGCTTAAGAGATTTTAAATTTAAATATATCAAATATAATAATTTAGAATAATGTATATAAATAAAATATTAAAAAATGAATTATTAATATCTTTTGGACTTTTCCTACTCTGAGTTATTCAAAAAAGTATTATCGCGGCCATCGCTATAAGGGCAGAAAGCTGCACGTCTCGCTTATATATTAATAGTTATCGCTTGTTTCGCTTGTTACGTAATATTGTATTAGAATTGAATTTTTCAAAAAGGAATTAGGGCTTATACTAATGAGTTTGCCATCCGAATATGGCCAATTAGTGAGAACACTTGAACAAAACAAAGATACGGATTCTGGTAAAGGTTCTGGATGCAAAAGAAGTTCAACTACAGAAAAATCCAGGACTGTGGAGTCGGAGTCGGAGTCGTGGAGTTTTGGTGTTTTAGCCGGAGTCGGAGTCGGAGTCGGATTGGTAAGGAAAAGTCGTAGTCGGAGAAGGAGTTGGAGTCGGTAGATTTTTACGCGACTCCACATCCCTGGAAAAATCAAAACTGAAGTAGAAGCATATATGGCAGGGGTGGCCAACCTGCGGCTCTTTGAAGGATTATATGTGGCTCTCGATAAATGTACCCGAGTTTTCTTTTCATTTTTGTGTTATTATATTTTAAAAAATTATTATCGTTCCATATGTGTTTCAAAATGTCTTTTAAATTACTAACAACAAATATGAAAGACTAAGTGCAACGTTGTAACAAATTTCATTTCCGTCCAAGTTAAGAATGATATGACTCATCGAAAACTGCGCGAACGAACATAAACAGTGGCGTAATCGTCCGTTATCGACCGACTCCAGACCAATTTTGAATTTGTAAACTGTCATTGCAATGGACAGTTGACATTGTGCTCTGGAGGAAACAATTTGTATCACTTTTGCTACGGATATAATTTGCAATCTGGAATTTTTTGCATATCTTTTTAATACGTATTTAATTGCGGCTCGCGAAAAATTTCAAATTTTGAAAAATGGCTCGGACTATCAAGGAGCTTGGCCAACCCGGATATATGGATATAGATGACGAAGATAGTACAAGCAACAAGTAGACAGTCCAGGAAAATGAAATCAATATTGATTTAGGACTTCGAGATCACACCGATATAGAATATCAAGAAGCTATTGAGCAAATTCGAGAAGTACAAGAACTAAGATCGGCTAGAAAAACGATCAAGTCCATGTTATAATGAAACAACATGTAAATTGAGCATAACTCAAAATAAAGAACCTGTGACTGTACAGGAGGCGATGAGTGAAAATGAAGCAGAAAAATGGAGGGAAGGCATTAAAAAATAACTTCAGAATTTAGAAGAAAAACAAACGTGGAAAATTGTTGATCGTCCAACAAAACGCCACACTATTACTTCAAGATTTTTTAAACGAAAAAGTGACGACAATGGTAACATTATTGAGTATAAAGCACGTCTTGTAGCGAGAGGATGCCAACAACTTGAAAACGTTAAATATATAGAGATATTTTCACCTGTTGTAAAGTAAGAACAAGACAATAGTGACTATATTTGCTTTGGCAGCGTATCTAGGATAGCGTATATATCATTTTGACTTTTTTAAATTAAAAAAAAAATTTTTTTGCCCTGTGGGAAATAAGAAGGTATCATTTAGCAAGTCCACTATGGATTCGGTCAGACTCACAAATGAGGCAGTCGGGTGATGAGAGACAGGACCCGACATATCCGGACGGAACCCCCGAAAAATGCCTGGGAATTTTTCGACCCGTCCGGATTCGACCCCGAGTCCTCCAGAGCGATAGGCTATCATCTTGATTGCTCGACTATCTGACTTTCTTTCGATATTAAAAAGACATATCTGAATGGACATGTCGAGGAAAAATAAACATGGAACAACCTGAAAGTTGTTCCATGTGTATACATGCTGATAATACGAAATGTAGAAAACAATAATAAAAATTTTGTGGGTACCGTTTCGGTGCTAAGTTTATCTTTACCAAAGAAAAACCCCAAAGAAAAAACTTAGACTGTTATCTAAATTGTCATAATGTCACCGGCACTACATGTGCTCTAGGAACACCTGCAGCTAGTGCCGGGTGAAAAGAAGAAAATACAGTTTTTTTGGGCATTTTTACTCTTTTCGATTGCTTATATATCGGCAACCCTTTATAGAAAAATCTGAAATTTTGCATATTGCCTAAGAAAACAATCATCTTTTGAACGAGATATTCAGAATTACTATAGTCGTTTGGGGCAACTTCCGAAAATCGGCAACTGATTCCTATATACAGCCATGGTCAGTCAACGACTTTTTACTTGGCGCGGAATTCCTGCCACGACTCTCGATTCTTTAGATTTCAAATTTAAATACGATTGTTCTGCACATTATCGCTTTATAAAGTTCTATGAAGAAATAATTTTTTTTAGCATATATAAATATGATGAACATTATTAATAACTGAATATCAAAATTTAATTACATCATAAATTTTTAAAATTATGTTTTTACTAAAACATTAACTTTCATACTTAATATTAATTCAAACGAAACTAACAAAACTAATTTATAAATTACCGAATTTAAAAATATTAATTATAAAAATAAAAACAAAAAATAATAATAATAAAGATTAATTGTTTAACCACCAGTTTGCGTTGTAGTCGACTTCCATGTTTTTTTTTTCTAAATGCCTTTTGATTCCATTTCAAACGAGCTAAATGCTGGTGGCGATCTGAAACGCTTATCGGTTGTTAGTCGTTGTTAATAAAAATTTGTTTTTTTTTTCTTTTTAGTCAGTATTTGTCGAAAAAGCCGTCAAAATAACGTCGAAAGAAGGAAACTCATGGGACGCGGTTTTAAATCAAGCCGCTATAGAAGCGATGTTGTCAGCTTCTTATGTAGATCATTATTTAGAATGCGTCGAAAATTTACCAGATGACGTTCAAAGAAATATCACACAATTAAGAGAATTGGATCTGAAATATCAAGGTATATCTTACCACCTTATAATAATAACATAATCTGATTATTAAGATTTTTTCATTAGTTTATGTTAAATTTTGCTTAAGGATTAACAGATTGGTCAAAATAGTTAAGAATAAAATACACTTTTAAAATAATTGTATAAAACCATTATATATATTTAGTTAATATTTCCATAAACTAAAGTTTTTACAATGTTTTCTGTTTTATTGATTGTCTTTCTTAATATTTCAATATATTAGATGAATACTATGAATAAATTTAAAAATAGCTCCTTTTTTATTGTTTTGGGAAAGAACTATTTATAAATACTTTTTCCATTCCATATCAGTATTCATAAATTTGGTTTATGATTTGTATTTTAAATATTTATTTATGATTTCAAGACATAATGTAAATATGTCTTCTTTGGGAATTAAAAAAAAATTTAATGTGAATATATCATTAAGAAGAATGAATATATATCAGCTGTGATATGATTTACATTTAATAAATTTAAATATATTAATCAAGAAAAATCTATAGGCCTATGTATAAAATATTGAATAGTTTAGCTATTCTCTTCATATAATTTTAAAATTAGAAATATTTGAAATGTATTTATCATTGGTACTTTCCAGTTAGCAAGGCGCCAGTCATTTGATGCAATCCAACTGGCGTGTATTAGGTTGATAATTGGTTCAGAGAGGATTTCCCAAATGGATAGGTTAGGTTTAAGATTAGTTTTTAAGCTTAGGTTAGAGTTAGATTGCATCAATTGACTGGTGCCCTGCTAACCAATAAGTACCTTATAATTTTTAAGAGATATAAATGTAAAGTATAATGTGAAAAATAAGCTAGCTAATAATTATATCGTGACTGTAATTCTTTTTAATTTTTTTGTTTGTAAAAATAGTGATTCATTATCTTACAAAATAGCAACAAATTGAACCTTAAAAGAAATTCCAGGATAATCTATTGTAAATTCTAACATTTTTGATCTTCAAAGGAGATCTTCCTCAGGAAGAGCTTCTTTATTGGAATCTTCAGATCTTCTTTAAATTGGAATGCAGAAATGGAACAATTTTAAGAATTATTTAGAAAATGTATAAACGAGAATTTTTAAACTAATTCTCTTTAAAAATTTTTAAAATAAAGAAATTATTTTAAAAGTAGTAGTTAAAGAATTCTCATTTATACATTTTTTAAATAATTCTTAAAAACATTCCATTTCTGCATTCCAAATTAAAGAATCCTGAGGAAGATTTCCTTTGAAGATCGAAAACATTAGAATTTGCAATAGATTATCCTGGAATTTCTTTTAAGGATCAATTCGTTGCTATTTTGTAAGATATATTCCAGGCTTCCAGAGTGTGAGCTACATTCAGTATCTGTTTAATATAAAAACAGTTCATTGACAAATACATCATAATGAAGCTAGATACAAAAATGAAACATGACCCCTCTTGATAATTTCTGCATAGTTAATTTCTTTAGCATCTGTTTGAAATGCTCTCATAAATTACTAATTACTTTCATTTTATACTAATTATTACAAAATCAATAGCAAAATTAATGCTATCAATTTACTAGCATTTCATTTCCAAGAGATTTTTCATTATTGACATGGAATGAAATGATACATAAATGTTATTATTTGTTTTAACTACTGTAAATGAATACTAACTGTACATAGTACCTAACATGAAAGGAATACTAACATTTTAGTATTCATTTTATGTGATGATTATTTTGACAAGTTTTTTTTTACAAATATTATAGAAATTATTTGCATTAAGTACAAAATAAAATTTTTCATTTGTGGTAACATTCTAAGCATGACAAACATTCAATACATTAAAATATTTTATATCATAAGAATTCTGTAGCAAGACTTAAACAAAACTTTTTTTTGCATGAGTGTGACTAGTAATGAATTAGAAATATAATAGTTTAAAAAATTAAAATGTGAGAAATCATAATGTTATAACTATTTTTTTTTTTTTTGTTTTTAGTCTGTATTTGTCAAAATGCTAAAAATTGAAACTTTTACATGATAATCTCTTCAGAAAAATTTCATAAACTTAAAATCATGCAGGAAAATATCTGGTTAATTTATTCTAAAATAACAGACTCCTGATTGATTGGCTTTTATAGACCAGACCTTGGGCCAGATAAATGAATGGCTGATTAATCTGAAAAAAACATATCATTTACAGGTTGAAAATTAAATATATATATACATAAGGAATGAAACATCTGCCATTGATATAATTCTTATATATTGATATATTTATTTATATATAAGAATTATATCAATGGCAGATTTATCTTTCTTTTTGATAAACAATTTTTGCAATTTTAAGCTCTTTCCTTCCAAATAATAAACCAGTATTATTTTGTAAATTTTATTTCTGCTCATAGCTTTTAGGTTTTCTGATTTTGTTCTTTTAGCATTTTTCCCTGACTAGTGCTTTCATGATTTCATTGTTAACACTTTCTTCTCTAGAATGTTGCCATCTACAAACCATTTATAGGTGTCTTTTTCTTCCAAGTTTTTGAACTCTGAAGATTGTTTCAAATTGCACAGTGTTCAGTTTATTTTTTTGACATCAAACCATAATTTTCTGTATGATCTCATGAATGCTGATGATGTCACTTTTTCAAAAGATGGCATCATCTTTTGATGCCATCTTTTGAAAAAAAAGTTTTGAAAAAAATTTGAAAAATCTTTTGAAAAAAAAGTCCTGTATTGGGTTGATCAAAAAGTTTATTCATATGATGATGATGATGATGATGATGATGCAATCACTGCATTAATTCAAGTGAATCCACATTAAACTAATTGCATAAGTGTTATCTATTGTTCAAGGATTGGTTGTTGACAATTCACACTACTTAGGATACATATCATGCTATGAGAGAAATCAGTTGAAGGAGAGAATCTGATAGACAGAATATCTGCCTGTGATTCACTGCTCAAACATAACCAGATGAATTCCCTTCTGAAACAACTAATTATTGGCAATGAAAAATGAATTGTTTATGATAATGTGTATTGAAAAAGATCACAGAGAAAATCATCTAACTCCTGTAGTGCAGTCAAAAGCTGGTTTGCATCCAAAAAATGTTATGCTAATCTTATGACTGGCAGGAAATTACTTCTACTTCAAAATCAGATCATTAATACAGAAAAGTAGTGCTTGCAGCTCTTGATAATCTGAAGGCAGTTATTGAAGAAAAACTGCCAGTATTAGCAAGAAAAGAGTGGCTTTTCAGCATAATATTGCTAGATTGCATGCCTCTTTGAACACTTGGAAAAAAATTATTGAAATTTAGATGGGATGTTTTGTGCCATCCACATTATAACGTAATTTCACTAGTGGCATTATGAACGGTGACCTTTAGCAAATAACAGTTCACAAGCACTTTCAAATAGCATAAAGCTACCATCATCAGGTGAAAAATTGAACATAACACATACTGTAATACATTTATGTGAAGTCCTCTTTCTCATAACTGAAAACAATTATTTTCAATTTAATGGCACGATATGTAAACAAACACAAGGAGTGCCAATGGGTTTCCCTCTATCACTTATGTTGGCAGAACTCATTATATGCAACATTGAACATCGTATTTTCAATGGTCCCTTACCATCCAATACCCGATTATGTATTTACAGTGTGTTGACGACATACTACTCGTGTGGGAAAGCTCTACTGAACGTCTAAAAGAATTTATTCAAGCATTGGCCTCTATTTATCCTTCTATCAACTTCATGATAGAGGAAGAACAAAATGCCAAAATCTCTTTCTTAGATCTAGAAATCCATACATTTCCTGATCTCCTATTTTCTGTGTGTATCATAAAAACAATAACACACTGCAAATTATCTCAGCAACAGCCTTCCAACCCATAAACTACGTGTACTCTGCCATAACTTCCCTCATTAGGAGAGCTTACCTCCTACCTTCCAACCAAGCACTAGTAGAAGAAGGATTGCAAGTCATTAGTAGTGCTATGCAAAAAGCTGGTTATTCTCGATCTAAATTCCATTTTCTCCAAAATCGTGTTAAAAAGCTTTTTCCACAGTCTTTTCTTCACAACAAAAAGAAACTAAAAATAGCACATCTCCGATACCGTTTTTAGGCCTCGTTTCTCTAAAAATAATACATCTTTTTAGAATGAATGGTTTTATATTACAGTTAACCACAGAACCAACATTACAAAGACTATTATGTAATAATAGGGATAGTTTTAAATTGAATGAAAAATATGGGGTCTATCAAATCCACTAAAACATGATTTATCAGGAGAAGAGACCAGCTACATAGAGGCCACAGCCAGAAAGTTAATTTCTTGCATCCTAGAACATCAGGACGATATCAGAAACAACAGACCATCAACTGAATTAGCTAAAAAAGTGCTTGAGCAAGATTATCAGCCACTCTGGACCCAAACAAAATTACTCAAATGATGTAACAACTCGGCATGAATTATTTATTTGGGAGAACCTTTACATCTTGGCCTTAACACCGTGCAACACTACTACTATTGAAATTCCACAAATATGGACAACATTATTTAAGCAAGCTAGTCAACATCTCTAGTACTTTGTTATTGTTTACTACACATTTTGGGATATTACAATATTCATATGGCTGCTCAAGAGTTTTTGAATTTTATTCTGTTTCAAATTCAAATTAATATTCTATTCATGTGCTTCGTTTAAATCCATAAGCTGTTCGAATGTTTCAAACTTGGAAACAGTTGTATTCAATTTTTCACCTGATGGTGATAGCTTTTTTGCTATTCGAAAGATCTTGTGAACCCTTTTATTTGCTAAAGGTCACCATTCGTAACGCCAGAACATGCTAGTGAAATTACGTTATAAAATTAAATGTTGGCGTGAAGTGTACTTTTCTTTTGTCATCCACATATTCTCCTGATTTTGCACATTCAGATTATTACTAATTTTCATCTTTCCTTATTATTACATGTACTGGAATAGCTCCTACTGTGGG